CTTTGGTGGTTGGTGTGTAAATTTGAATAATAGTCATATTAACTGTTCTTGCTTGTAGGCATATGGATATTATTCTATCTCTGACAGCGTTGTACTTCAGGACAGATCTTGAAACATCCTTTGTGATGATGAATACCATGCCATTCCTTTTCAATTTCTCATTCTTGGCATAGATCATATGGCTGTCTGATCAAAATGGCCCAAACTGGTCCATTTCAGTTCACTAATGCCCAGGATATCAATCTTTATGCATTCCATTTCATTTTTGACAACTTGCAAAAATTAGCTCCCTTATATTTTCTCAGGAAACTACTGGAAGATGTGCTCCAAAAAGCAAGAAGTAAGGTATGGTATCTACAAAACAATGATCCAACACAGGGAAGGCAAGAAGGGAGATATCGAGATGAAATTCAACAGGTCAGCCAGTTCAGATTGGGACAAGAGTCTGGGTAACTCTAGGTAGATTTCTAAGAAAAAAAAAAAAAATAGAAATCATGCACACTTGAAATATTGACTGATGCTGTTGAATGCATTGAGAGATTTACATGTCTTGCAGAATCTTTGAAGATAATGAAAAGTCCATAGAACACCAGACCACCAAGTAAGATGGTGGGCAGAGACACTTATTATATCTAGGGAAAATAAGAATTTTACCAAAAAACGAAGCATAATCATGGAATATTATAAGCTCAGTCTGAATACTATTTACAATGTTAACATAATGTAAATGCTGATTATTGATTTAAAACTTGTCATATAACCCTACTCACTCACTGCTCTTGATTCAGTTTTGACTCATAGTGACCCCTCCTTGGGTTTCCGAGGTCATATCACTACAGAAGTAGATTGGCCAACCTTCCTTCCTAGGTGTGGCTGGTGGGTTTGAACCTCCAGCCTTCTGGTTAGCAGTCAAATGCCTTAGACACTACACTACCAGAGCTCCTATAACCCTCCTGGGAATCCAAGAGGTACAGAAAGATGTCTTTTGTTGGTGGAGGGGAGTTAAAGCTAAAAGCTCTTTTTCCACCCTCAGAAATCAAAGAATAAGATAAAAAGTACAAACATCAAGAAACAGCATTGCCTTAGTTTCCTAGTACTGCCATCACAGAAATACCAGAGTTAGGTGACTTTAAAAAACAGAAATTTATTTTCTCTCCATTCAGGAGGCTAGAAGTCTGAATTCAGGGCACTGGCTGTAGGGGAAGTCTGTCTCTCTGTGGACCTGGGGGAAGATCCTTTCAGCTTCTGAAGGCCAGTAGAAATAAAATATATACCCTTTAGACTTGCTGAAAGATGGAAACTGCCCCAAACTATTAAGGAATTAACCTGCTCATAAATAACTAAGAGACCTCAGATTCATCACCCCCTGTGACATACAAAATGTTCCATGCCTAAATAACAATAAGGTTTTCACTGACCAATTTTTTGAGAAGTGGATGACCCCTTTGAAATCTGTCTTATTCTAGAGGCTCCACCAGTATTTGAAATACCAGTGGCATAGTCTCAAGCACTTGACTGGAAGCAGCAGTCAAGACATCAAAAGACGTATTGCATTGGGCAAATCTGTTGCAAAAGACTTCTTTCACGTGCTGAAGAGCAAGGATATCTCCTTGAGGACTAAGGTGCTCCTGACACAAGCCATGATATTTCCAATCGCCTGGTATGCATGTGAGAGCTGGACAATGAATAAGGAAGGTCAGAGAAGAGTTGACACTTTTGAGTTGTGGTGTTGGTGAAGAATGCTGAAAGTACCATGGACTGCTGAAAGAACTAACAAATCTGTCCTAGAAGAAGTGCAGCCAGAATGCTCCTTGGAAGCGAGAATGCCCACCTACTTTGGTCATGTTGTCAGAAGGGACCATTCTCTGGAAAAGGATGTCATGCTTGGTAAAGTGTAGGGTCAATGAAAGAGGGAAAGGCCCTCAATGAAATGGATTGACACAGTGGCTGCAGCGATGGGCTTAGGTATAGTAGGGATCATGAGGCTGACACAGGACCAGGCATTGTTTTGCTCTGTTGTACATAAAGTTGCTATGAGTCAGAGACAACTTGATGGCACATAACAACAACAGCAACAGCCTCCAACCTCACAGAAACACACAAGCCACCACAGTACAATAAACTGACAGACGAGTGGTGGAATGGGATGCATAAGGATCAATATCCTAGGCATTAATGAGCTAGTATTGGCATTTTGAATCAGATAATCATGTGATCTACCAAGTTGGGAATGACAAATTGAAAAGGAATGGTGTCGCATTCATCATCATAAAGAATGTTTTGAGATCTATCCTGAAGTACAATGCTGTCAGTGATAGGATAATACCCATATACCTACAAGGAAGACATGTTAATATTACTATTATTCAAATTTACATATCAGCCACTAAAGCCAAAGATAAAGACATTGAAGATTTTTACTGACTTTGGCAGGCTGAAACTGATGAAACATGCAATCAAGATGTACTGATGATCACTGGTGATTGGAATGCAAAAGTTGGAAACAAAAATCACCAGTAATAGGAAAATATGGCCTTGGTGATAGAAATGATGCTGGAGATTGCATGATAGAATTTTGCAAAACCAATGACTTATTCATTGCAAATACTTTTTTTCAACAACATAAATGGTGCCTATTCATGTAGACCTTGCCAGATGGAATACACAGAGATCAGATTGATTGCATCTGTGGAAAGAGGCAATGGAGAAACTCAGTATCTTCAGTCAGAACAAGACCAGGAGCTGATTGTGGGATGACATCAAAGACACTATACATGAAGAAACCAAAAGGTAATTAAGAAGACAGGAAATGAAGAAAAGACCAAAATGGTTGTCAGAAGAGACTCTGAAACTTGCCCTTGAATGGAGAGTAACTAAAGCAAATGGAAGAAATGGCAAGATAAAAAAGCTGAACAGAAGATTTCAAAGAGCAGCCTAAGAAGACAAAGTAAAGTATATAATGAAATGAGGAACTCTAGTAGCATAGTGCCTAAGGCACTTGACTGCTAACCAGAAGGCTGTTAGTTCAAACCCACCAGCCACTCCTCGGAAGGAAGGTTGGGCAATCGAGATGCTGCCTCGGAAACCCAAGGAGGGGTTACTATGAGTCGGGTCTGACTCGATGCCATATAACAACAACAACAACAGCATAATGAAATGTGTAAAGACCTGGAGTTAGAGGACCAAAAGGGAAGAACGTGCTCACTATTTCCAAAGTTGAAAGAACAGAAGAAAAAATTAAAGCCTCAAGTTGCGATATTGAAAGATTCATGGGCAAAATATTGAATGATGTAGGAAGCATAAGGAAAAAAAAAAAAAGATGGAAGGAATACACAGAGTCCCTGTACCAAAACAAATTGGTCGGTGTTCATCCATTTCAGGAGGTGGCACATGATCAAGAACCAATGGTATTGAAGGAAGAAGTCCAAACTGCACTGATGGAATTGGTGAAGAACAAGGCTCCAGAACTGACAGAATACCCATTGAGATGTTTCAACAAACAGATGCCCCTACTGAAGGCACTTACTTGTCTATGCCAAGAAATTTGGAAGATAGCTAGCTGGTCAACTGTCTGGAAGAGATCCATATTTGTGCCCACTATAAAGAAAGGTGATCCTACAGAATGTGGAAATTATCGAACAATATCTTTAATATCGCACGCAAGTAAAAAGCGCATGACCAGGCAGTATCTCATTCTGTTGTACAGAGATAGGGTCACTGTGAGTCAGAGTGGACTTGATGGAACGTAGCAACACAAAGTAACAATTTCTCAGGTCAGCCTCCAAATTGTCAATAAGAGAACACATGATCACCAACTGCCCTCATTTGTGACTACGTGTTCCTTGAATATCCTTTATCTTTACAAATGTTAACCAACACTCAAAGAAGTCTTTAACTTCCTTGTCCTTCCCTGGGCCTTTTTCCTGTACCCAGAGCTCCTTTCCACTTTCTGTTTGGATGCTGCCTGATTCATGAACCATTTGGTCAGGTTCAAATAAAGTCATTAATTAATAAATTTTCCTTTTATCTCTGAAATTCTCTTGGATGAGACCCAGCGAGCTTTGGTTCCTTGGTGATCGTTACGTGGCATGTCTTCTTCCCCTGTGTGTTCTTGGCTGCCTGTGTCTCTGCTACTTCTTATCACCCAGAGTGATTAGGTTTCAGACATACCCTACACCCATAGGGCCTTATTAACAGAGAACAACTATTTCCAGACAGGATTACATCCACAGGTATGTTTTTGTGTGTGCCAAGTCAACTCCAACTCAAAATGACTCCATGTGACAGTGTAGAACTGCACCATAGGGTTTCCTAGGCTATACTCTTATGGGATCCAATTGCCTGGTTTTATTTTTCTCCTGCAGAGCTACTGTGTAGGTTTGAACCACCAAGCTTTTGGATTAGGATTCCAAAACGTATTTTCGAGGGACACAATTCAACTTGTAACAAGGTGGTGGTGGTGTTATTTGTCGTCAAGTTGTACCTGACTCATAGTGACCCCTCCTTGGGTTTCTGAGGGAGTATAACTATGGAAGTAGATTGCCCAACCTTCCTTCGGAGGAGTGGCTGATGTAAGCATATTA